CACAGTGGTACTGCTGGTCGCGCTGGTGCTCGTCACTGTGGTGCTGCTGGTAGCGCTGGTGCTGCTGCGAGTAGTACTAGTATCGGTTGTGGTGGTAGCAGTGGTGCTGCTAGTAGCGCTGGTGCTGGTCGCAGTGGTGCTGCTGGTGGCGCTAGTGCTGCTGCGAGAAGTACTGCTGGTCCCAGTCGTGGTGGTCACACTTGTGCTGCTGGTTGCGCTGGTGCTGGTCACAGTGGTGCTGCTGGTCCCAGTCGTGGTGGTCATAGTGGTGCTGCTGGTTGCGCTGGTGCTGGTGCGCGTGGTGCTGCTGGTCACAGTTGTGCTGCTGGTAGCGCTGGTGCTGGTTGCGCTAGTGCTGGTCAGAGTGCTGGTGCTTGTCCCAGTCGTGGTGGTCACAGTGGTACTGCTGGTTGCGCTGGTGCTGGTTGCGCTAGTGCTGGTCAGAGTGCTGGTGCTTGTCCCAGTCGTGGTGGTCACAGTGGTACTGCTGGTCGCGCTGGTGCTGGTGCGCGTGGTGCTGCTGCTCCCAGTTGTGGTGGTGGCAGTGGTGCTGCTTGTTGCGCTGGTGCTAGTCACAGTTGTGCTGCTGGTAGCGCTAGTGCTGCTGCGAGTAGTACTGCTGGTCCCAGTCGTGGTGGTCACACTCGTGCTGCTTGTTACGCTGGTGCTGGTGCGCGTGGTGCTACTGGTCACAGTTGTGCTGCTGGTCGCGCTGGTGCTGGTTGCGCTGGTGCTGGTGCGCGTGGTGCTGCTGGTCACAGTTGTGCTGCTGGTCGCGGTGGTGCTGGTTGCGCTAGTGCTGGTCAGAGTGCTGGTGCTGGTCCCAGTCGTGGTGGTCACAGTGGTACTGCTGGTTGCGCTGGTGCTGGTTGCGCTAGTGCTGGTCAGAGTGCTGGTGCTTGTCCCAGTCGTGGTGGTCACAGTGGTACTGCTGGTCGCGCTGGTGCTCGTCACTGTGGTGCTGCTGGTAGCGCTGGTGCTGCTGCGAGTAGTACTAGTATCGGTTGTGGTGGTAGCAGTGGTGCTGCTAGTAGCGCTGGTACTGGTCGCAGTGGTGCTGCTGGTAGCGCTAGTGCTGCTGCGAGAAGTACTGCTGGTCCCAGTCGTGGTGGTCACACTTGTGCTGCTGGTTGCGCTGGTGCTGGTGCGCGTGGTGCTGCTTGTCCCAGTCGTGGTGGTCACAGTGGTGCTGCTGGTTGCGCTGGTGCTGGTGCGCGTGGTGCTGCTGGTCACAGTTGTGCTGCTGGTAGCGCTGGTGCTGGTGCGCGTGGTGCTGCTTGTCCCAGTCGTGGTGGTCACGGTGGTGCTGCTGGTTGCGCTGGTGCTCGTCACTGTTGTGCTGCTAGTCTCGGTCGTGGTGGTCACAGTGGTGCTGCTAGTAGCGCTGGTGCTGGTCACAGTGGTGCTGCTGGTCCCAGTCGTGGTGGTCATAGTGGTGCTGCTGGTTGCGCTGGTGCTCGTCACTGTGGTGCTGCTGGTTGCGCTCGTGCTGGTGCGCGTGGTGCTACTCGTCGCAGTCGTGGTTGTCACAGTGGTGCTGCTGGTTGCGCTGGTGCTGGTGCGCGTGGTGCTGCTGGTCACAGTTGTGCTGCTGGTGGCGCTGGTGCTGGTGCGCGTGGTGCTGCTTGTCCCAGTCGTGGTGGTCACGGTGGTGCTGCTGGTTGCGCTGGTGCTCGTCACTGTTGTGCTGCTAGTCTCGGACGTGGTGGTAGCAGTGGTGCTGCTAGTAGCGCTGGTGCTGGTCGCAGTGGTGCTGCTGGTAGCGCTAGTGCTGCTGCGAGAAGTACTGCTGGTCCCAGTCGTGGTGGTCACACTTGTGCTGCTGGTTGCGCTGGTGCTGGTGCGCGTGGTGCTGCTTGTCCCAGTCGTGGTGGTCACAGTGGTGCTGCTGGTTGCGCTGGTGCTGGTGCGCGTGGTGCTGCTGGTCACAGTTGTGCTGCTGGTAGCGCTGGTGCTGGTGCGCGTGGTGCTGCTTGTCCCAGTCGTGGTGGTCACGGTGGTGCTGCTGGTTGCGCTGGTGCTCGTCACTGTTGTGCTGCTAGTCTCGGTCGTGGTGGTCACAGTGGTGCTGCTAGTAGCGCTGGTGCTGGTCACAGTGGTGCTGCTGGTCCCAGTCGTGGTGGTCATAGTGGTGCTGCTGGTTGCGCTGGTGCTCGTCACTGTGGTGCTGCTGGTTGCGCTCGTGCTGGTGCGCGTGGTGCTACTCGTCGCAGTCGTGGTTGTCACAGTGGTGCTGCTGGTTGCGCTGGTGCTGGTGCGCGTGGTGCTGCTGGTCACAGTTGTGCTGCTGGTGGCGCTGGTGCTGGTGCGCGTGGTGCTGCTTGTCCCAGTCGTGGTGGTCACGGTGGTGCTGCTGGTTGCGCTGGTGCTCGTCACTGTTGTGCTGCTAGTCTCGGACGTGGTGGTAGCAGTGGTGCTGCTAGTAGCGCTGGTGCTGGTCACAGTGGTGCTGCTGGTAGCGCTAGTGCTGCTGCGGGAAGTACTGCTGGTCCCAGTCGTGGTGGTCACACTTGTGCTGCTGGTTGCGCTGGTGCTGGTGCGCGTGGTGCTGCTTGTCCCAGTCGTGGTGGTCACAGTGGTGCTGCTGGTAGCGCTGGTGGTGGTCGCAGTGGTGCTGCTAGTCTCGGTCGTGGTGGTCGCAGTGGTGCTGCTGGTTGCGCTGGTGCTTGTGCGCGTTGTGCTGCTGGTCACAGAAGTTGTTGTCACGGAGGTGCTACTGGATGCGCTGGTGCTACTGCGAGTGGTACTGCTTGTCCCAGAAGAAGTGGTCACAGTTGTGCTGCTTGTTGCGCTGGTGCTGGTCACAGTGGTGCTGCTGGTCCCAGTCGTGGTGGTCATAGTGGTGCTGCTGGTTGCGCTGGTGCTCGTCACTGTGGTGCTGCTGGTTGCGCTTGTGCTGGTGCGCGTGGTACTACTCGTCGCAGTCGTGGTTGTCACAGTGGTGCTGCTGGTTGCGCTGGTGCTGGTGCGCGTGGTGCTGCTGGTCACAGTTGTGCTGCTGGTGGCGCTGGTGCTGGTGCGCGTGGTGCTGCTTGTCCCAGTCGTGGTGGTCACGGTGGTGCTGCTGGTTGCGCTGGTGCTCGTCACTGTTGTGGTGCTAGTCTCGGTCGTGGTGGTAGCAGTGGTGCTGCTGGTTGCGCTGGTGCTCGTCACTGTGGTGCTACTGCGAGTGGTACTGCTGGTGCGCGTGGTGCTACTCGTCGCAGTCGTGGTTGTCACAGTCGTGCTGCTGGTTGCGCTGGTGCTGGTGCGCGTGGTGCTGCTGGTCATAGTTGTGCTGCTGGTGGCGCTGGTGCTGGTGCGCGTGGTGCTGCTAGTCTCGGTCGTGGTGGTCACGGTGGTGCTACTGGATGCACTGGTGCTGCTGCGAGTGGTACTGCTTGTCCCGGATGTGGTGGTCACAGTTGTGCTGCTTGTTGCGCTGGTGCTGGTCACAGTGGTGCTGCTTGTCCCAGTCGTGGTGGTAGCAGTGGTGCTGCTAGTAGCGCTGGTGCTGGTCACAGTGGTGCTGCTGGTAGCGCTAGTGCTGCTGCGAGAAGTACTGCTGGTCCCAGTCGTGGTGGTCACACTTGTGCTGCTGGTTGCGCTGGTGCTGGTGCGCGTGGTGCTGCTTGTCCCAGTCGTGGTGGTCACAGTGGTGCTGCTGGTAGCGCTGGTGCTGGTCGCAGTGGTGCTGCTAGTCTCGGTCGTGGTGGTCGCAGTGGTGCTGCTGGTTGCGCTGGTGCTGGTGCGCGTTGTGCTGCTGGTCACAGAAGTTGTTGTCACGGAGGTGCTACTGGATGCACTGGTGCTGCTGCGAGTGGTACTGCTTGTCCCGGATGTGGTGGTCACAGTTGTGCTGCTTGTTGCGCTGGTGCTGGTCACAGTGGTGCTGCTTGTCCCAGTCGTGGTGGTAGCAGTGGTGCTGCTAGTAGCGCTGGTGCTGGTCACAGTGGTGCTGCTGGTAGCGCTAGTGCTGCTGCGAGAAGTACTGCTGGTCCCAGTGGTGGTGGTCACACTTGTGCTGCTGGTTGCGCTGGTGCTGGTGCGCGTGGTGCTGCTTGTCCCAGTCGTGGTGGTCACAGTGGTGCTGCTGGTAGCGCTGGTGGTGGTCGCAGTGGTGCTGCTAGTCTCGGTCGTGGTGGTCGCAGTGGTGCTGCTGGTGGCGCTGGTGCTGGTGCGCGTGGTGCTGCTGGTCACAGAAGTTGTTGTCACGGAGGTGCTACTGGATGCACTGGTGCTACTGCGAGTGGTACTGCTTGTCCCAGAAGAAGTGGTCACAGTTGTGCTGCTTGTTGCGCTGGTGCTGGTCACAGTGGTGCTGCTGGTCCCAGTCGTGGTGGTCATAGTGGTGCTGCTGGTTGCGCTGGTGCTCGTCACTGTGGTGCTGCTGGTTGCGCTTGTGCTGGTGCGCGTGGTGCTGCTCGTCGCAGTCGTGGTTGTCACAGTGGTGCTGCTGGTTGCGCTGGTGCTGGTGCGCGTGGTGCTGCTGGTCACAGTGGTGCTGCTGGTAGCGCTGGTGGTGGTCGCAGTGGTGCTGCTAGTCTCGGTCGTGGTGGTCACGGTGGTGCTGCTGGTTGCGCTGGTGCTCGTCACTGTTGTGCTGCTAGTCTCGGTCGTGGTGGTAGCAGTGGTGCTGCTAGTAGCGCTGGTGCTGGTCACAGTGGTGCTGCTGGTAGCGCTAGTGCTGCTGCGAGAAGTACTGCTGGTCCCAGTCGTGGTGGTCACACTTGTGCTGCTGGTTGCGCTAGTGCTGGTGCGCGTGGTGCTGCTTGTCCCAGTCGTGGTGGTCACAGTGGTGCTGCTGGTAGCGCTGGTGGTGGTCGCAGTGGTGCTGCTAGTCTCGGTCGTGGTGGTCGCAGTGGTGCTGCTGGTTGCGCTGGTGCTGGTGCGCGTTGTGCTGCTGGTCACAGAAGTTGTTGTCAAGGAGGTGCTACTGGATGCACTGGTGCTACTGCGAGTGGTACTGCTTGTCCCAGAAGAAGTGGTCACAGTTGTGCTGCTTGTTGCGCTGGTGCTGGTCACAGAGGTGCTGCTGGTAGCGCTAGTGCTGCTGCGAGAAGTACTGCTGGTCCCAGTCGTGGTGGTCACACTGGTGCTGCTGGTTGCGCTGGTGCTGGTGCGAGTGGTGCTGCTTGTCACTGTGGTGCTGCTGGTTGCGCTGGTGCTTGTCCTTGTGGTAGTGCTCACCGACGTGCTTGTCCCAGTCGTAGTGGTCACAGTGGTACTGCTGGTTTCCGTCGTAGTCGTAGCAGTGGTGCTGCTAGTTGCGCTGGTGCTTGTCCTTGTGGTAGTGCTCACCGACGTGCTTGTCCCAGTGATGGTGGTCACTGTGGTACTGCTGGTTTCTGTCGTAGTCGTAGCAGTGGTGCTGCTAGTTGCGCTGGTGCTTGTCCTTGTGGTAGTGCTCACCGACGTGCTTGTCCCAGTGATGGTGGTCACTGTGGTACTGCTGGTTTCCGTCGTAGTCGTAGCAGTGGTGCTGCTAGTTGCGCTGGTGCTTGTCCTTGTGGTAGTGCTCACCGACGTGCTTGTCGCAGTCGTAGTGGTCACAGTGGTGCTGCTTGTAGCGCTGGTGCTGGTCACTGTGGTGCTGCTAGTCTCGGTCGTGGTTGTCACGGTCGTGCTGCTGGTCGCGCTGGTGCTGCTGACAGTGGTGCTGCTGGTCCAGGTCGTGGTGGTCACGGTGGTACTGCTTGTGCCAGTCGTGGTGGTGAACGTGAGGCTTGCGGTCGTGGTCGTAGTAGTCTCACCGATGCAGATGTACTGCCAGCTGGTCCCTGTTGTGTCAGGCGACCCGTCGTCTGCAAACATGAGAAGGTTCGACGCCGCGTTGTAAACACAGCCGTAGAAGTTGAAGCCCGACAGTACGACCGTTCCCGTGCCCTGCAGGCCAGCGTAGTTCTTAGCTGGGCCGAAACATAAACTGGAGATCGACACGTCCAGGAGACCGAACTGGGCACAAGTCTGCCCAGCCGACATTATGGAATAAGGGATTCCTCCAGTAGAGGTGGTCTCGGTTTTGCTCGTCGCCGACATGCTTGTGGACGTGAGTGAACTGGTCGTTGCAGTGACCGTGGTCTCGCTAATCGTCGTGAAGCTGGTTGCAGTGGTAGTGATCGTCGTGCTGGAACTAGCGGTCGTCGTCACAAGACCGATGCACATGTACCGGTAACTTGCGGTTGCCTGGGTGTCCCCTGGGCTAGAATCCCCGAAATATACCTCCGCGCTCGAGGACTTATACACGCAGGTGAAAGTGAACCCGTATCCGGAAAAATCCGTTGTCTGAGAGGAACTGAAACCGAAGGCTGCGGAGGCGGGCCCAAAGCACTGTGCCGTGCTGGTTATGTCCTGCAAGCCAGCCTCGTAGCATGTCTGGCCAGCGGGCAGCAGCGTGTAGTCCTCGTACGTGGTGGTCGTGACTGTCGCGGTCGTGGCCGTCTCGGTGGTGGTCGAGCTGCGGGTTAGGGAGACACTGGTGAGGGTGGCCGTGGCAGTGGTGCTGCTGGTTGCGCTGATGCTCGTGCGCGTTGTGCTGCTGGTCACAGAAGTTGTTGTCACGGAGGTGCTACTGGATGCACTGGTGCTGCTGCGAGTGGTACTGCTTGTCCCGGATGTGGTGGTCACAGTTGTGCTGCTTGTTGCGCTGGTGCTGGTCACAGTGGTGCTGCTTGTCCCAGTCGTGGTGGTAGTGGTGGCAGTGGTGGTCACCGTCGTGCTGGAAGTGACGGTCGTCGAGACGGTGGTGGTGCTGGTGGCGGTCGTCGTCAAAAGACCGATGCACATGTACCGGTAACTTGCGGTTGCCTGGGTGTCCCCTGGGCTAGAATCCCCGAAATATACCTCCGCGCTCGAGGACTTATACACGCAGGTGAAAGTGAACCCGTATCCGGAAAAATCCGTTGTCTGAGAGGAACTGAAACCGAAGGCTGCGGAGGCGGGCCCAAAGCACTGTGCCGTGCTGGTTATGTCCTGCAAGCCAGCCTCGTAGCATGTCTGGCCAGCGGGCAGCAGCGTGTAGTCCTCGTACGTGGTGGTCGTGACTGTCGCGGTCGTCGTTGCAGTTGAGGTGCCCGTAGAGGTATACTGCCCGACACAAAGGAACTGGTAGTCACTGGAACCCGCGGTCCCAGTGCCTTTCGAAAGCGAGTAGATCAGCGTGTCCGTTGCGGCTGCGTAGACGCAGCTGACCTTGAACGCCGTACTCGCGATGTAAGTCGTGGCGTCGAAGCTCAGACTGAGACTAGGCGCCGCTAGGTTGAAACAATTATCGGAGCTCGGGACGTCGGCCAAGCCCACATCATAACACGACTGGCCCAATGGTACCAAGGTGTAGCCGGGACCCACTGTGGCGGTGGAGACCGTCGTGATCGTGCTGGAGACCGTTGCCGTAGTCGTGGAGGAGGCTGTGGTGGAGTCCGTAGTCGTGGAGGAGGCTGTGGTGGAGTATTCGCCCGGGCAAATGTACTGCCAATCGGGGGACGACTGCGTCGCGGAGCCAGTGGACAGGGCGAACAGAACCATGCCCAGTGACGCATCGTAGATGCAGCTGAACCCGAATGAAGCTGACGGGAAGGACAGCGTGCTGGTGCCAGACAGCCCGACAGAGTCCATCGCACTGCCAAAGCACTCCGAGCTGTTCGAGACGTCCTCGAGGCCCACCTCGTGACAGGTCGAGCCTGTCGCATCGGACGCACGGGGGGAGGAGTGGAGGGAAGGTGAGCGAATCAGCTCCCGCGGTCGGCTTTCCCACCGCCCCCCGGCGTCGGGAAGCGCCAGTGTATCGAGGCCAGGCGCCCAGCAGCGTTTAGGAGACCAGCCGCATGCAGTCGTGCTCCACCGCTCTGGCTGCGCGTGGGCGGCCCGGCGCGGCCGGCGGAGGCCTGCCTCCCCCGCCCCCCGGCCAGGGTCGGCGGCGTCGGCTCGCAGGCCAGGGGGAGTTTGGAGCTCCCGCCACGGGGTGTGCTTGGCATCGTTTCCTTACTGCGCGGGCTGGGTAGTCGAAGCCAATCTGGCGCCAATCTGGCAGGCCCAATCTGGCAAACGGGGGCAATCTGGCGAGGGAGCCAACGCGAACCTAGTCTGGCGAATAACCCAGATCATCCGGTTTGGCCAGGCCAGATTGGCCCTTGGGGCCCAATCCAATCTGACAGTCTGGCCTTCGACTACCCAGGCGGGGCGCGAGGCACGGGAGTGTCTTTGGATGAGCGCCCCTCTTGAGGCATCGTCACCGTTTACCCACCTGCTTGCTTTTATCAACATCGGCTGGCGTTTTAGACACTCGCGGGTCTCTTCTGGGACACATTGACTGCTGACTACGAAGGGGACCGATAAAGGGGGCACCAACCCAGAGAGGAGACATCGAGCCGGAATCGGCGATACATCGCCAATTGATCGGCGATATGCCACCGATGGCCACGTTCCTTGGCGGGGTGGGCTATCGGGCCCCTATCGGCGACGAATGGGTGATGGGGGGTCGACGCATGCCCTCTGAGCCTATCCACCCCCCATACTGCTGTCCATAATTTTCCCGTTCCCCCACCCCCTCCCTTAGCTGGCGAAGAGCGGAACAAAACGAAACTTCTCCGCCGTCGGGGGCGCCCGCCCCCCTGGCGGCGGCAAAGTCTTGTACCCCTGCGGTGCCACGTGAGGGCAGAAACCTGACAACCGCCTGAGGGGCAGGCGCCCCCGACGACAAGAAAACTCATGCTACGCCGTGCTTCGCCCGCTAACTTCTGTCGTCCGCCCCGAGCCTGCGGTCAGGTAGGAGTAGGCAGCTCCAGAAGCCCTCCTTCGCAGGGCGCCAAGCACCCCCCCCACCCCGATCCTGGCAGGACCGCCAACCTGGGCCCGGGCCTGGTGCGCACGCCCCCCTGGCTTAGCGAGGGAGCCACACGACGGGAAGCGGGTCCTACGCGAGACGGCGTAGCAACCTCACGCGGCGGCCTACGCGGGCCGCCAGCGCGGCACGCTGCGTTGGAGACGAGGGCGCTCACGCGCGACCCTGCGCGAGCAGCTTTCGCGCCAATGTCGGCGCAGACGACCCCGGCTTCTTGCGTCGCTCACATTTTTGTTTTTTTGTTTTTTCAAATCTGCGGCCTCAGAGCTCCCGACCCCTTCCCTCGGCCGGGGTAGCCCTTCGTCCCGGATTCGAGCTGGATGGACCTGGGGCACGGCAAATGGGCCCCGGAGGCTGGAATCGAAGGAAAACGCAGGTATTGACAAAACCGCGTCGTCGGGGATCATGGTGCACAGATCCTGGGCCCAGGAACGGCCTGGCCAGCAGTGGTGTAGGTTCAGGAGGGGGAAAGCACAGACACAATGAATCGTCGACTCCCAGGAAAATATGTGAAACTATAGGAAGTCGGGTGGACGACAAAAACCGAGGAAATATGGGAAAATATGGGAATCCTGTTCTTTGTGTGTATTTATGTGTGTCCTTGGGCCCCTTGATAGGTGTACGCATACAGGACACAAAAAACAGTAGCACCACAAACTGTCGGAGGTTCTGCGAAGAGGGGCCCCTCCCTGGCAGGCAGAGCACACCCGCGACCGGTTGTTACTGTGGCCCGTTGGGTGTTAGTGTGGCCCGTTGGGTGTTAGTGTGGCCCGTCGCGCGGCCGGATGGGAGTTACTGTGGCCCGCGCTGGCCGTTCAATGAAAAGTAAGATGTAAAGGTATCTCATGTGAGATCTGGAGAAATTCGCAACCCTTTAAGGGAATGCACTCCCGCGCAGGCAAAAGTGGCCACAGTAACTCCCACCTGGGAAAAGTGTAGTAGTGGTAGCAGTAGTAGTAGTAGTAGTAGTAGTAGTAGTAGTAGTAGTAGTAGTAGTAGTAGTAGTAGTAGTAGTCGTATTAGTAGTAGTAGGAGTAGTAGTAGTAGTAGTAGTAGTAGTACGAGTAGTAGTGGTAGTAGTGGTAGTAGTGGTAGTAGTAGTAGTAGTAGTAGTAGTAGTAGTAGTAGTAGTAGTAGTAGTAGTAGTAGTGTAGTAGTGGTAGTAGTAGTAGTAGTAGTAGTAGTAGTAGTAGTAGTAGTAGTAGTAGTAGTAGTAGTAGTAGTAGTAGTAGTAGTAGTAGTAGTAGTAGTCGTAGTCGTAGTCGTAGTCGTAGTCGTAGTCGTAGTCGTCGTCGTCGTCGTCGTCGTCGTCGTCGTCGTCGTCGTCGTCGTCGTCGTAGTAGTAGTAGTAGTAGTAGTAGTAGTAGTAGTAGTAGTAGTTGGAGTAGTAGTTGGAGTAGTCGTAGTAGTAGTAGTAGTAGTAGTAGTAGTAGTAGTAGTACTAGTAGTAGTAGTAGTAGTAGTAGTAGGAGTAGTCGTAGTCGTAGTAGTAGTAGTAGTAGTCGTAGTAGTCGTAGTCGTAGTAGTAGTAGTAGTAGTAGTAGTAGTAGTAGTAGCAGAGTAGTACGAGGCGAGTCCATGACATACCCCTGTTTTGGACTCGCAGTGGTGATGTGGTTGTGGTGTTGGTGGTGTGGTGTTGGTAGTGTTGTTGAGTTGGTGGTAGGTAGTAGTG